ACATTGAGACCCTATCATTTGCACCACCAACCTCAAAGTGAGCGTCCTCAGAGTGGGCTTGGTTCCACAGGCGTTCCAGGGAGTGGAGCACCATCTCCAAGACACCCCATCCTGTGAACATGCTACCCACAGTAATGCGGTTCACTTGCGAAAAGGTGTCAGCGAGCTTCGTCCGTAACTCTTCAAAGTGCGGGTTGTGCATGAAGTCACCAACAAAGGCATCCACCTCAAGCGACGCAGTCATTGGGTCCATTGCAACCCTGAGTAGTACAGTAAGTAGAAGGTATTATTATTGTGGTAACACTTTCCCTGGTCCGGTTTTCCAAAGATCAATCCCATACTTTAGGGTCTTTTGGGTTGCTTGCTAGTTTGTATATATAATGGAAATACCCGCCAGAAAGCTGTGAATTGAATTCAAAGTGACATTTGGTTCATCCAGGGCTGGAAGTTTCATAGGGATTCCTTCCTCCGGTCCATCTCGCTTCATTGGACCAGATTCCTCATCCGAGGCTAGCAGCATGGAAGGTGAAGTAGTGCGATTGCCTGGCCAGCGTGTGGGGAATCCTTCTTGGAGAACAGACATGTCTAGTTGATTCAGCCATGGCAGCTGAGTGCAACTGGTTGCTGTTTTTTGTTGAAACCATAGACTCCTCGCTACATACAACAAGATGGCCACATATGTCAACGGCACCCTGCCTTCATCGCTGGACTCTATACGAAGGCCATCATCCGAAGAATGATCCCCATTGCGACGAGTCCTGGCGTTGGGATTCGCTATGCGCAGCAGGTGTATTGTAGGACCCTGCATTGGTGATCCACGATGGAGTGTTTTTGGATGGTAGAACCTAACGTGTGTAAGACCCACCACGTTGCACTTGTCAGCCGAACCGCCAGACCAAAATTCACCTCCATGCAAGGGGAGGCTCAGAAAAGACCATATCTGAAGGAAGACCTGGGCCGATTTATCGCCCAGCTTTGGAAAGAACTAGACCTGTGCTGGGCTTGGCAATGAACTGGTAGGCTGTTTCTGTTTCTAATTTCAATCCTCTTTGGATGTTGAGCCGCTTGGTTTTGGTAGACCCATGGTACCCTGGTCTAGCTTTGTCACAATAGCCTAAATTGCTCCCAATGGCACAATTCTAGTGAATCGGCCACCCAAAAAACATCCTAGGCGCAGATGGTTTTTCCAAGTTCAGACTGATTCAATCGCCGCCCAGACCAATGGGCAACTGCACTGGACCATCATCAGAGTCCGAGCTGTCACTGCCAGCATTGGGATCACCTTGCAATGCGAGATCAGAATGTCTCACGCGGCGCGGCTGTGTCCAACTTCCTGGACGGTGGACTTCAGTCCGCATGTCCGGCGACCATCGGTAGTTCAAGAATGTGTACGCATCCGGCTTTGGTTTCTGAGGTAAAGTTCCTTGAGACCACCCCAGCAAGTATGTTGCCCCCTCTGTTGACAGCTCACCGCTTCGCTGACAGATTGGGACTCTTTTCTGGAGGTTTTTGATCACATTATCACCAATCACCCTTCTAGGAGCGAGGCCAGCCGGTGGATGGTAGCCAGCTCTGATTGCAGTGGCCACAGCCGCTGGTACAACGCAGATGGCCCGCTGGATCTGGGTATCTGAGAGCCATCTTTTTGTCACTAAAAACACGTCATCAGCATGAGGATCCCTGCCATTCATTTCCTCCAGTTCGTAGACATTGTTCAGAACGTCAGGTCCCAAATCCTTGCGGCAACTGAACCTGAAGTAGTGCACATGCCGAACTCCCTTGAATGAAACTGAAAGCTGTGTTCCAAACTGTTTCCAGCAAGTTACCTGGTCCAGCTTTGCCACAGTAGCCATGGAGCCCCGAATGCGACCAGACTGATCAGAGGCTTGACCTTGCTCAATGCAGTGCTCCAAAAGGCTGATCATGTCCGAGGCCGACTGACATGCCTTTCCCATGAGAAGTCTTGCCACTTGTCCGAAGACCTGGTCGACGTCATCGTGGCTGTGGGATGTCCTTAAAAATCCCGCAGCTGTAAATCGGAAGATTCCAAGAATTTGAAGGATCAATAGGAATCGAAACATGAACTTGTTTTTTCCTTCCCTGTAGCAGTTATCTTGCTGTAAGTGGAGGGTGAGCGGGAAGGAGGAACACTGGCTGAATAGGTGCTCCAGGGAGAGGCTCAAAACTTCCATCGATGTTTGGCTATCCTTCTTGAGGTTTTCGTCTGAGAGAAAGAGATTGAGCCGGTAGCCATGCACCCAGCTGGCGCAAAGATGCGCCGCTGGGCGAAACAACTTCGTTGCTGCCTTACTGAGCCTCCCATATCCAAACCTTGGTAGTCGGAGTTTGGCTTGATCCATACCATCTTGAATGATGGTAAGAAAAGAAGACGATACACTTGAAGCTGCCAGCCGCTTGGAAAAGTGGAGGGATTCTGAGAAGTAGTGGCGGCTCAAACTTCTTAAGTTCCAATAGAACTGTCTGTCAGCCCACTGCTGCAACAAGTGCTCCGAATAGAGTTTGATATTGATTGCCTTGATTTGTTTGTTGGCCGCATTTCGAACCCGTTTCCGGAGACGAAAACAGACATCGCACTGTCCAAAAGCGCCCTTGTCTCTGAACCGGAGGTGGTGCTTGAACACTGCCTTCATGACTCTTCTGAAAGTGGAAAACGATGCACACACCAACCCTCCAGATTCACAATATGTCTGATACTGTACATAGAGGTCCATGGGGCGCTGCCACTCTAAATATCGTCTTGGCCCTTCAAAGGTACCGGGTCCACCCTGGACAACCTCAGATGAAAAATTGGTTTGACAGATTGACAAAACGGTTTAAAACAGATTTTGCTGGGGGGATTCTCAGGCAAATGAAAGGATTCCTTGAACATTTCATTAAACTGGCAAACCATGGTCTAAAAGAATAATAGATTTGACCAGGAACTGGATTCATGTCATAGTTCCGCTCAAGACAAGCCAAAAACCCCTGGACATACCTCTCCTGGAAGTCTGGGTCTTTCTGCATGGAGCTTTCCACTAGCTGCCCGTTTCCCGGCATGATGAATTTCATGGGTAGAATCTCTGCACAACTGATCCAAAGCATCCAAAAGAATGACATGATGGATGGCCACTTTTGGTTCAGAGGCGACCGAACCAGTGACACCCCGATAGAGGGATGAGTTGGCTCTTGGAGCCTCCCAGAATTCATGGTGTATGCACGTTGGCCTCGGCGCAATCTCTGCAATGCACCAGAACCGACAGAGTACAGCCTCACGTGAGCAAACCTGCAAACAGGCTTGCCCAAGAAACGAAGCTCGTGAGAGGCACTCCTATTTGTGGCATAAGAGCGTTGTTTCTTTTTTGGTGGTTCTTCCCCCTCAGAAGGAGTTGCTAGCAAAATGTCATCACTGCCAATTGGCGTTGCGACAAGCTCTTCTTGCTCTGAGTCGCTTTGCAATAAGACACGGCCTGCATGGCCACTACCTTCCGAATCAGTTTCCATAAGAACTTCTTCATGAGAGGGTAGCATAGCAGCTCCAGACTCAAATTCATTGGTGTTGTCAGCGTGGTACCACTTCCTAAGCAAATCTTCCTTCCAGGGGAAAGCGTTGCTCAATTTACCAGGTGACCTTGAAAAAGACGGAAAGAATCCTATGACCTTTGCCCTGATCATGATATATTTGGGAGCTAAACAGGCCAGTCATGGATACAGACCATTAAATTAGAGGTGCTTTAAAGAATGGCTTTGTTATTCTATCTGAAGTCCTTGCGATCCACATCCAATGCATCGAACCGGCTCCTTTCCTGCTGGACATCTGCAGCCACGTCTTGAAATTGCTGCAAGCAAGTCAAGTGCGTACATGTGCACTTTCTCCCCAAGAGCTTGACCAACTCCAATCTCGCTGGCATGGCTCAGGCACTCTACCAAAGCGAACACAGGACAAATTCCTAACCTCAGTATGAACAGCCTTTAGTACTGATCCTAGTCATGATGCTTTCCCTCTTGACCTACCTGAGCTGCCTGATGGAATGTAAAGAAAAGAAACCAACATAAGATGACAATGGCCGATTTTGTTTGAGAGTGGTCTCAGCACAAAAAAACCTGAAAACCTGACTTTCTCTTGAGCCAGGCCAGCTGCCCGCTTGAGACTTCTCCTGCCCCATTCTCCAACGGTTGCTGTCCGCTTCCCCCCCCAGTCAGCAATCGGTCCTCGAAGCGGGCTTCTTGACAAATTCCTTCTTTGCCGGCTTCTTGACCACTGTTGACATTGATGATGCTGGCCGCTTCATGGCAGCTATGGGTATGGTCTAACCGCCGAGGACTTTGAAAATAAATTGGCTGCCAGGTGGCAGACAGCGGCAACACAAGACAACAAACAACCCAACCCTGGATATCCAAAGAACATCCAAAGAACCAAAGATTGGAAAGACCAACTTTTGTGAAACTTCCATATACACTGAACGTGATGTGGTTTTTGACAACTTCACGCACCTTTGACACATGTGCCCTGTCCGGGAAAGAACCAGAGTTAACCAACCAGATTGATACGCCAAAATGTACCAATAAAAGTAACGAGAAAAACACATAACAAAACATCAAACAACGCCAAAGTATGCCGTGTTAGTGCACAACCGGCCCGTCCCAGTCGTGCGACACCGTTGACACATGCGATGACCAAGTGTCGGTGACATTGGGGCGGCAGTTGAACGTCTCCAAGATTTGGATATAGCTGGGCATGATTGGGCATGTGGTCTCGCTGATATCGTTTGAAAGCTATTCTGTCTCAGTTTCACTGTGGCAGCTGGGAAGCCAAAACACATCCTCCCAACAAGAAGAGCTAAGGAAGACTCTGAGGTTTGGACAAATACACATTTCTGTGGACGAAACCATCAGTTTTATGGAACGTTTCCCCGGGAGATGCCACTGATCAGCAAGCTGCACACATCAGCGGATCCATGACATTTCGATTGACACGACACGGCCAGCATTCGCCCAGAAGCAAGCTTCCGCCACTTGTTGGAGGCGATCATCCTCAGGCAAGACACTGAAGTTAAGTTACTTCCAAACCTACCTCCTCTACCAGAACGGACTGGATGCATTCAAGGTTTTTTGTGTCGAGTCCTGCTTGCCTGTTGCTTGAAATAGAGCTTCCAAACATTAGAATCAATGTTCCACATTCCAGACCATCTTCCGATGAACCCAGCACGAGCTCTCGAGTTTGAGGGGCCCTGATATGGCCCTGATGGTTCGATCCTCTTATTTGATGGTTTGGGCGGGCTTCAAAAAAATCGACTCAATCAACTTGGCCACCCAACACCCTCAAGGTCGTAGGAACGACGGACCCTCAAACTCTGCAGGGAGGGGTCGTCCGGACCCTGAAAAACCTCTTCAGATTCGGCACCCTTCTGAGGGTCAACGAACTGCGGTAGGCATGGTATTACCGGTCTACCCGGCACCACTGGCTGTGCCGGAGGCATTGTTCTGAACACCTTTTCGGACGTTAAAAAACATGAACTTCAACCTTCAATGAATGAACCAACTTCAATCCGCAGAGGGCAACGAATGGTCCGAAGGTCACCGAAGGTCCACCGAGCCAAGTGCCACTGCAACCCTCGTCCAACATGTTTGGATCCGCGTCACTAGTGTGTTAAATCCTTCCACTGTTGTCCTGACCCTTTGCCCAACGGAAAACGCATCCAGCTCATGTATCCAGCTGATCCCCGTGTCGGGAATGCCTCGAAATGCCCAGCTGAAACGGCCGAAACTGGGACATCCGAACTCCTTCAATTTCTTCTCCTTAACATCTCAAAAATTCGTCCCCACTCAGTTTGTTTCCTGGGTCCATCATATAGAAAAACAAATTGTTCGAGTCGTGAAGTGTAAAGAGTTGTGTCCACCATTGATGGTGGAACCTCCAAAACTAAGTGTACCAATTCCTTGACCGCATGACACTAGATGTTGCAAAAATTGTCTTTGGTTGACTCCCTCGTTGCTGATCAAGAAGCACCAGGCACTTCTATACATAGGATATCATAGGATGTTTCCACTCATCCTTCGCATCCTTCCGACCATCTTGGACCGCTTGGGAATTTAACTGGGGAGACACGAGTGAAGTCCGTCGAGATGAACAATTTGTCGTGGGTCTTCTACCTGGAACCCCATACAACCAGAAAGACATGGTGGTTCCAATATGGCAAATATATACCCCTTGGAATTAAGTCGGGGGGGGTACACCGATGTTCAATGATAAAACGCTGCATATGACATCCAAAATGAGAGGCTGCATTTTGAGCTCTATAGAATTGAGGATTGTGAGACTGAAAACCATGGCCAGCTCTATAGAATTGGGTTGGGGACATGGAAAATAGGTAGACAACTGGTAGACATAGCAAGTACAAACACTATAGAATCATAGGGCACAAGTGCACAAGGTATTTTCGAACTGTTTTTTTTTTTCTGTGTTCTCTATAAAACCAGACTCTCTGACATGCCACCTCCAACATAAGCAGATCATTATTTATAAACAAACAGCTTGCTTTGTGATGGTATCATCATCGATTTTGTAGTGGAAATATCAAGGGGCATGCAAATACAAATATGATCCTTTACATAGGAAATGGCTGTTTGGGGAAACATCCATTTCTTTCTGGTTGTTTGGGTTTCCAGGAAAAAAAATAACACACGTCGTGAAATGGTTTTGCTACCTTGGTGCCTCTGGTCTGCCCAAGGGACACTTCGCTTTCGAAATTCTTCCTCATCTTCGGAGTATTCACTTTCTTCTGCCAGAGCCTGGCAATCAATATGGAGGCCACAAGAAAAGGACAAGATCAATTCCCAATCAAACATCGATGGGTTTGCTGGCACTTCGGGATGCTCCCTATCAGTCCGATGCTCACTTCGCGCAGAAATGAGTCGTACGGACCCACGGTGACCCACGGTGACCCACCAGGTCTTGCTTGACACTCTTCAAAGAAACTCTTGAAGGACATTCTGGAGTGACACAGAGGAGTGTGACAGTCTTGTAGGACACTCTTGCTGTGACACTCTTGCTGGACACCTTTGAAGGACACAATCTTCAAAACAGCACGTCGTTGGATGTTTATTCCAGAAGTCAAACTGAGAACGCTCCAAAGCATGCATTTTGTACGAGACTTGCTCCAAAAGGCACGAGTCAAGTCAAGTCACAACCCTGCGAATGCCAATCCCAATAGCGCAGCAACTCAAAGTGCTGGCCTCGCCAAAACCTTGCATCTGCTCTTTAAAATCAGCCGTCACACTTGCAACCGTCACGTCTCATCACGTTTCCATGCTATATATATATATACAGTATATATGTTGTTCAATGTTTTTCAGGAATCAGACACGTCGTCCATCCAGCCAAGACCTCTTCCAAAAGCTCCCCTCAGTCACGTGACGACGACGCAAACACGAGACAACACGAGACGAACCCAAAACGACAACCCTTCGCTGTGTGTTCTGGACAAAACAACCAAAAACACCTCACCTGCAGTAGCGCTGGCGGCAGCCGTGGCGACGGTGGAGCAGCTTTCTCCGGCCCCGAGGCGGCTTCCGTGGGAATCGGTTGCCGGGCCTGGAACTCCTGCCGGGCTTGGAACTCGGGCTGAGAACTTTCTGAACGGACGTTGACTCTCGAATCGATTCATAAAAGAAAGATCCTTATGGCCGTGGGTCATGGCACCAGGATGCCTTGGCTGGCTGACCGACCTGGTGTCGGGTGATTTACTATACAGTACATGGTTGACCAGGGCTCCAGGGTTTTTCGCGACCCATCCTCAGCAGTCAGTGTTCAACCTGGGCAAACAAATCATGACTTGCGATGTTTGTAGCAGGCCACTCTCACCTGGATCAATGCCTCCACCGGAATCCGGTGGGCTGGCGGGTTCAATGAGATTACTGTAATCATTGCATGGGTTCAGCTTGAATACATATTGATATAGTACAAGCCAACCAGTTAGTCTGTCTATGTAGTGTTCACATTTGCCAACAAGCGCTTCCTGCAGCTGTCGACGCAGCTGCCGATTCTCCAGCTCCAAAGTGGCAGCCTGAAATCAGTTGTCAAGCTGAGAAACACCCATTTGAGAGCTCCAAATAAGATCGGTTCCAGCTTGGCCGGCACCTCACCTCTTTTTCCTTTGCAAAGGGCTCTCCATCGCACTCCCTATACACACACACACACACCCTCATTGAAAATTGCTCCGACCAGTCCCGCCCCTGAGTTGCGCCAGGTTTACCTGTTAGCAGCTGCCTCGGCCTCCAGGACTGAAAAGCGACAGGACATGGTCCGGTCGAGTGGTGGCCCCTCGTCCTGCGCGTGCCGCGGGGAGGACGACAAGCCGCGGACTGGCGGCTCATACAGAACGATTTGATTACAGTATATTATATGGTGATATATATATATATATGTTGTAAAGTTGTCCCAATCTCGTTGCGTCGACACAGGATGCCAGTGAGGGCGTATCATTGTGACATGGTTTGACACAAACATATATATATATATAGACATGCAGGATATCCCGGCCTGCGCAAGTAGGAGACAAGCGCAACATCTGGGGAGTCTTTCAGTCAGTCCAGCAGTCAGTACATGACTCTGCTTCCTAACCGAGTCTAGTGGTACGATGATGCTTTGCATGCCAAGTTGGCTTCAAGGTTTGTGAGTTTGCGCAAATGGTTTGACATTGTCCTATGTGATGTATTAGTACTTCACAACAAATGAATCCGGATGCCTGCAGAAAAACAACAAGCCTATACATAAAAGCAGGAGCAGTCACAGACTTGGACACAGCTTTCCACACTTTGAACGATGAACATACCTCCCCCACCAAACCATGGCAGTTTGACATCCCTGATAGAGGAATCTGTTCATTTTCGGTGGTCAACCAGGGTGCCCGGGTTTAGACTCACAGCCAGATGTCCAACTTGCAGTATCGTTCGCTCTCTCTCTCTCTCTCTCTGGCTCGTCTCTCTTGACTCGAGCAGCTCTTGCGTTGACCTTGTCCATTCCATCCACCATAATCTGTCCGTGTCACACACAGTTTGGGCCAAGTGTCCTGTCACTATCTGTCACATGCTCAGTTTCCCTTGTTCTTGGAAGGGTATTTCGTTCTGCGTCACAAGTACCTGGAGTCTTACCTCAGAAAATAGGTACAAGTACCTCATCTTATGGGGTCATGGCCCCATTTCTAAGGATTCTAAGGTACTTGAAGTCTGGTCCAGGTAGTGCCTTACGGGCATCTCACATCGGATTCTCCAAGCACTTTCCATGTCAGCCAGGAAAAGACTGTGACTCCTTATCCCAGACACGACTAATGGGACTGCCATATATGCCGATCAGGCCAGGGGTGGTTGAAGTCGGGGTCAATGTAGACATACCTAGAATCTGAATGACCTCTATTTTGGACCACAAACCACCCAAAAGATGGTCTCTTCAATATCGAAACAAAGGTCATGTCTGGGTTCTAGGTTATATATTTGTACCATACATGGAGTGTAGACTGGATATAGTGACTGCTTAGTGGCTTTAGTGTGACTCCGACTGTGACTCCTTAGGACCCGAAGGCACCACAGTCGCACCCAGGGTGAGGCCGAACTGGACCGGTGGGCTACATGGGGTCGGACTTCTCCAAGTGGCCCAATCATCCCAATCAGTGAACATGATCAGATGATCAGCATGGCTTTCTCTTCGCGAACTCTCGAGTTCGAGTTCGTGAGTTTTTGCGAATTCGAATCCAATTCTTCTCCCAACTAAGTGGACTGGTGCGCAGTTCGTTCACCCAAAATGGCAATTTCGAAAAGGTGATCAACACTCTTGAGCGCAATCTTCAGCTTTTCCGCAGACCCTTCAGTGTCAGGCGGGGCGCACACCGCCCGCAGCGCGCGCAGCGTGCGGAGCGCCCCGCGGCGTCACCTGAGACAGCCAAGGCCAGGCAGGTTGGCAGACGGGTGAGTGGGCCTGAGAACTCATGAGACGAGGGTCAAGATCTGTACAACAAGGTCTTCCCGCAAAGCATGTGTCAACAGTATTCAACGTTCCTGCTTTCAATGTGATGCCGTTGCGGTCCTGGCAGCACAGCTCATATTTTTCTCCCGCACGTTCTGGAGCTTTACGTCAAGCAGTGGGTAAGTATAGTATTGTCAGGAAGACCATCACACATGTCTTTCTACTCATCTCAGGCAATACAAATTCTGGGCATTTCACGAGTCCGCATGGTCACGCGAAGCTCGAAATTGCAAGGGCCAAGGCAATTTCACACACGAGCACTGAGGTCGATGGTGTGTGGCCAGGCCCTGGGGAAAATTCACCCAAATGCCGCACTAGCGAACTTGTTGCCTGTGGTCTGAATTCATCAACAAAGTGTTGTTCTTTGATAAGGATGGAACGTTATTTAGTTACGTTGTCTATTTCAACATAGTTCAAAAGTTCAACATATTTCATCCATAAGAGATCTGCATGAGGGTGTATACAAAGAGGACACAATGTTGCTCTTGAACATTGATGATCTGCCCAAAGCCCTTTCACCGCAATTGTTTCTCCAAACAAATTGGAATTAATATAAACTGGTCAAGAATCATGTCCCTCAAAACTTCTCCAGCAGCATTCTATAGAGCTTCAGTCTCAGTCCGATTCTTTTTTTGGGTCCCATTCCTCATCTTGGAACTTCCCATTGCAGACCACGGTAGTTTTTGCAACAAGTCCCAGTTTCCAGCACCAAAATTGGCCAAGAAGTGGTGCACTTTGCAAGGGATTGCCTGGTGGTCGTGCATTTGTTGTGGTATGGCCTTACTGTCATGCATCTGACTTGGAGTGCCACAAGGAAATGCTCAAATGGCCACATGTGAGCCTCCAAATCAGTGTATAAAACAAAACGCTAAAAGATTACAGTCTTGGTGCGATGTTTTTACATCACCTTAGACTGTATTGGCATCAGCATGGAGATCTTCTTCGTGTGCCTTCAGGTGTCGAATGTCTCTTGGATAGCTCCAATGCATCAATGTGTAGACCAAAAATGTCACAATCCATGGAAGGCAAATGCTGACCTCGGCAAAGAGGTGCTGAGAGCAACAGAAAACACAGCGACCTTTTTGTGAAATTGTCTTGATCACCGCAAGTCCACAAGCTGAAAGTGAGTGGTTGAACGAGACCTGCAGCTCGCGCAAGCTGCAGCTTGCGCTCCGGCATCCCGTGCTATTGAAGTTCGGCAACCCATCTTATGTTCAAAGAACGCTGTGTTACTCCTAGTCTGTTTCTGCACAACCCACTACAGTAAAGGTTCTTGATCCGTATACACTGACACAATCACCTGCTACAAGATATATTTCCTGCCGGCCCTGTTCATTAAGAAACTTGTGCTTTTGTGAACAGTGACAGGTGGCCTGAGCTCGTGTACTGTGCCATGATTCACGTCCATTTGTTGGCACAACGCATGGTACCCTCTGAAGGATGACCGTATCAACTCAACAAGTCACTTTGGCTGGTGTTTGCTTAGCACAAAAACTTGCACTTCGGACGAAGAACCTTAGCACTTCGGACGAATCTCTGATTGTATTAAGGAACCGGCAGAGCCTTAAAGCAACAAACTCATATAAAACCATATTAATCCCCATGCCAGAAAAAAAACAAAAAACAACTCAAACTCGGGAACATCAACGGCCTCACTGCCCGTCATTCCCCTCGGCTCGACGCTGTCGCTCGACGCTCGCGTCGACTCTCCCACCCATCGCCCCGTTGAGGCACCGCCATCGCTTTCCCCAAGGCCGTGGCTGCTTCAATGGATTTGCCGTTCTTCTCTTCCTGCGCAGCCGAGACAGCCAAAAAGAATGGTGCAAGTTCGGACGATGCAGGCAAAAAGAGAAACAAAAAGGCAGCTGGCTTGGAGTTGGGAAATTCTCCGTTCGAAACCAACAGGTCCATTTCACGAGTCTTTAATGCATATGAATAATGTGGCCCTCAGATTTATAAACCCCGATAGAATAATGACTTGTTTTTTCCTGCACAGATTTATAAAGGCCCCCAGAAAAATGTCTTCTATTTTTTGGAGGGGTAGTTGTAGTGGAATATTTTTTATTGTTATAGTTTACTTTTTCCCTTTTGATTTGCTTTGCTCACCCTCTATTCCTTATTTACTTTTCCTAAGCTCTTTAGTTTTGAAGCTTTCCAAAAGTTTCCAAAAGTCAGTGTGCACTTTCTTTATAAAATCCCTTATTCAAAAGTATTGAAAAACAAAAAAAAACATTCAAGCAAAGGGGGTAGTCCAGCAAGCAGCTTTCTGACATTATTTAGGGGGGGCCGGGGCCCCTAGAATAATGTCTAGAGATTTGAGGCTTTAAATCTTTATTCCTGTTCTTTGCCTTTTGATTTGCTTTACTTACCATTGAAATTGCAGGTCTTTGGATTCAGATTTCCATTGACATTTAAAAAGTTAGTTTTATTTGCATTGATTCATTCCCTTTTATTGTAATTAATACTCCATATTCCAAATGTCTTCAAAGTTAGGTTTCTTGATTCCTTTCATTTTAGTATTGCCAGAGTAGCTCCAGAGGTAGCTAGCTAAGGATTCCTTATTTAATTATCAATTGATTGATTTTCTTATACATTATTTTGGAGGAGTTGGTTGTTGAGGGGGGGAGTTTATAAATCAAGAGTCGACATTATGGTTGTGAGATGGTTGAGTTAATTTATTACCCAAACGCTCATTGGACCCTCATAGAGATAGGGTTTTGACCCTCACAACTAGGGTTGTGGACCTCAAACATGTAGCAGTTTGAGGGTCAATGAGCGTCTGGGTACATTGTATATTAGTCGTGGGTAAGATAATGTAAGAGACGAGAACACATGCACAGCATTATAATGGTAATATACGTATGTTGTACGTCTGGAAACTTTCGTGGGGCATGGTCAGGGATATGGTTCAAGCTTGGAAGAAGGTTTCACCTTCGTCTGGGTTGGTCCGATTTTGTCTATTGTGTGTAATTATTCTGTGCGGGGGGTTAAAAACACACACAGCCAGCACCAGTGTCCGAGTGTCCCTTTCGGATGGGGGTATATATATATATATACTGGGTCGAGGTTCCTGTTCGCCCACATGAGCTATTCGGCGGCTATTGGCGGTCCGCCACGGACTGCGAGGACCTCGGTCCAGCCCCCCTATAGGGTCCACCCAGTGTGTCTCCGACGTTGGATTGCCAGTTCAGCCCTCAGTCCAGCCCTGTGTCACCAAAACCACTTCATCCACCTCGGATCACCCAGTTCGTGGATTCAAAGCTCATTGGGGGGCCAAAAGAATCACCACGGGTCTCCTCTCCGAAGTTGTAGCCGAAGATGCACTTCGCCAAGATGGAGACGCTCGCCGGGCCGACGGCGGTGGCCAGCGAGCTCTCCAGGGCGCCCTCGGCGGAGCATAGGCGGAACGAAGGAGGAAAGGGAGGCAGGTCGCCGGCGAACAAAGGTAGGTCGTCTAAGGAAGATCCAAACCACAGTGAATAGATCCAACGGAATGAAGGTGGTAAAAGATCTCTCATACCTAGTGAATGTGGGTGAGTGTTGTGGTGATCCGCACATCTTTAAAGGAAATTCAGCCAGCAGTGGCGGATGAAAGGTCAAACGGCATTTGGCATGGCTGGTGTGGGCGCTGCCAAATGTAAATAGAGATGAAATAAGGCCTCAAAACGATCCAATAGAGCTGAATCCACCGTAGAACGTAGAACATCTTCTCTAGCTTGTTGACCATGTAAGTCAACACCCACTCAACAGCATTCAAGCAACTCCTTTGCAACAGCTCCCTTGATGTTGGACACAAAAACATGGAATGGAAATACTGTATACAAATAAATTCTCTCACGCTCATTCCAAACCATTGATTTGGTTTGGGACGTTCTGAAATATTTCTGGCTGCAATCAACTTCACCACTGGGTGTCTACTTTAGACTCTTCCGGTTTAGCACCTGACAAATTCCGCACTGGATCACTGGACAGGAAAGGACCTCCATTTGAAGTCCTTCGGTTCCCCGAAATGCCATGCCTAGCTCCCTGGAATTGTTTTTGGTGACAATTCGATTCAAACGACCTCAATCGTTTGCTAGGCGGTTTGCCAAATACCAACCGCGCATCAAGCAATTAGTCGTCTAGTCGGTGCCCCCGGCCTTCCTTCGGATCTCCAACCCCCTCTCCCCTCGCGACGCGAGTCGCGGCGGGGGTGGAACCCCGACGTGCCTCCCAAGCCATGACTTTACTGCGTTCACCAGGCGGGACGATGTGGGAGAGAATGGGCCTCGTGTCCCACGACTTCACAGCAGGACGACGTCGTCGGACGGCGAAGGGGGGAGGGAACCGCCTGGAAGAAGCGAGAACGCGGCGGGTTTGTGAAGCGACGGCAAGAACGATCAATGAATATTCATGTCCACTTCCCAAACGGGTCGTCGTTCAAATTTAGAGCAGCCAGTAAGAGCAGGAACTTACAAAGCATGCTGTCCTGAAAATCCCAATCCCTATACATGAACCGTACCCAGCAGTATATAGTTACTATATTTTACTATTACCTTTGTCTTCGCGCCATGAAAGAACCATGGGCAATTTCACATCTGGTCTCGATTCTACAAGTACCAAGGTCGCATGGTTACCTCTTGAAGGTTCTTTCGCATCACATCTCGAAGGCAAGGCTTGCAGCTCTCGGTCGACGGCTTCGGCTTTCGGTCGGCTTTCGGTCGACTTCATAGATTCCCTGAGGCAAACACATGCGGTTGTGGGAACCGGGTCCGGACCTCTGCGTTTCGGAGAAGGTCCGAGCCCTGACATGGAGGGCTCGTTCGGATTCTCAGGGTACTGTGATTGTACTGTATAGGGATGTATAGGGGGTGTTTCTAAGCTAAAGCATATCCGGTCTATTAATAGACCAAGAGGATCCTATGGGT